GTTACACTTGATTTGGATAATCTGCTTACAGATAGTTTATTAGTTACGATTCAGCTCACAAATAAAAACTTAATCTGATATTAGCCTATACCACTGTGGTTAAGGTTTGATTAGAGCTAATGTTTGTGTATTCATTATAATTTCAGATAATAGTATTGTGCTACTAAATAGCTTACCATTAGCAGCCTATAAGATTAATTCCAGCTGGACAAAACAGCAGTTTCATTTTTGTGGGTTGTTTTCAGTCATTAAATTATTGCATACAGAACGAGTACAACATTTCTAAAGTTCGCTGTAGTGCCTCATCCTTTATTTAATGTCCTGCCTACTCCAGGCTGTGATTGGTCAGTTCATGAAAAGTGATTTTGACAAGCAACTAACACACGGCTGCGTGAAAGGCACCGGATCTCCCTGCAGAGATTAGCAGTGAGGAGAGAACAGGAACAGGTGAGCCTCACGTAGTACCCAGAGAACCTGATCTGGAGAGGGCAGAGAAGAGTACCGGTGCCGGTACACCTAAAAGTGACCGGCACACTTCAAGCACATTTTGAGAAATAACAGGAAGTCATCTCTATTATTAGCGCGAGCTTCGTAGCGGAGCATTCAGGCGCAGTCAAACCAACGCAGCAGCTGGTTTTCCAGCTCCAGGTGCATGTGTTAAAAACAGCGCTGTGGATGAGAGGAGAGGGGTCAAGACGTCGTATTTAAGTTTATGTTCTGCTTGCTCAACAGTTGTTTTAATAAATGGCTATTAAAACACATTCAGAGAATATTTGAAATGCTTTTTTTGTTTGTTTTTTTTCAAATTCTGATCATTTTGGGGCTATACTTTCCTTTGGCAGGAAAAATTTCTCTATGTAGGAAAAACCCTGTTCTATTCTGGATTTTACAGGGAGCCAGTGCAGAGAAGCTAAAACAGGAGAAATATGATCTCCTTTCCTGGTTCTTGTCAGTACACATGCTGCAGCATTCTGGGTCAACTGAAACGTCTTAAGGAATTTTGTCGAGCAGCCTAGAAGTAACAAATGCACAGATTAGTTTTTCCGTATCATTCTGAGACAAGATATGCCTGAGTTTTCCAATGTTAAGTTGGAGAAAAAAGGCGGTCCTTGAAGAGAGTTTAACATCTTAAAATTACAGGTCTTCGAGGTTTATACATCCTTAAGGCATGCTTCAAGTTTAGCTAACTTATTGGTTTCATCTGGCTTGATTGATAGATGAAATTTAGTATCATCTACATAACCATGAAAGTTTATAGAGTGTTTCCTAATAATATTGCTTAAAGGAAGGTGAATAGAATTGGTCTAAGCACAGAACCTGGTGGAACTCACTATGGTAGTCATAGTGAGTTTCACAAGGTTTTGTGCTTGATTCATCGTTAACATGTACAAACTGAGATAGATCTGATAGTTTGTGAGTTTGGAGGTATATGTATAATTATCTTCTTTTTTAGAGGGGCAACAGAGTAGAGTGCAAGTTGCGGTGAGCCAGCACCACTATTAACAAGATGGTCAATTTTGGAGGGACTGAAGTTACCTTAAGAGTCGTCAAATGTCACCATGTATAATTTAGATGTCCGTGTTTTGGCACTAAAGCGTTGAGGTTTTAAACTTCCCCTACATGCATTGGAAACTGTAAATGTAACGGTTGAAGAGCTGCTCTGTCTATATGCCTAGTCATTCCTGATTGTTCTTTTCTTTGTGCGGCTCCCAGACCTCAACATCCAGGGGGAAACCCACGACAGCATAGAGGACGCCCGCACTGCTCTGCAGCTGTACAGAAAGTACCTGGAGCTGAGTCGCGGAGGCGGGAACGACGAAGTCAGGAAGGTCCTGAAGGGACTCTATGAAAAAGGCCGCCAGCTGGACTGGAAAGTCCCAGAGTCTGACACAGGAGATGGTCAAGGTAGCCCAAAAAGTACGACACAACATTGAATTAGACATAGGCTGAAGTTCTTGACATAACAATGAGTTTAGATGGGAGGGGTTCATGACAGAGTCTGTGTGAGTGAATTGAAAGCACTCTTTCCTTCAACAGGTGCTGCTGTGTTTCCCTCTGTGATGGGGCTGTGAGCTGCACCGTGACATATCCCCACCGCAGAGTTTTGACTGATCAATGCTAGTTCAGTTAATGTCATATTTTGTACTTATTTGCATGTATTTTTGCATTGTGCACAGAGTTTATGAAGGTCGTTGTTGCCTGTACAGTCCACTTCTGTGACTAAACAATTTTTAATCATGTCAAGATTTGTACTTTTTTTTTTGTCTAGGAAAGGTTTCCAGAAAAAGTTAGAGTTTTGAGTCTTTTTTTTTTCATTTTAAATGCAGCTTTTTTTTGCATGTAAATAAATAAATCATGGTTCAGTATGATGAGCAATAGAAGATAATGTGTGTTTAATACCAGGAAACGGGAAAGATATTTTACATTAATACATAATCATCCAAATAGACTGCACAGAGAAGTATATTCAAATTTTACAGTGAATTTATTTGTAGCTTGGTTGCATATTTTCCTGATAGGTTTGATAGCATCTCCTGGCAGCCATTCCCAATAGTACTAAGATAACATATCTCAGAATGTGAAATGCCTTTTTGCAAGAAATGAAAGTGAAAAACAAAGTCTGTTGTACAAATCATAGACTGTATATACAAATAGTCACATTTCAGTAATATAAACAGATACCCATGTACACCTCAGTATTAAAATGCGTACCATCTAAACTTCACAAATTTGCACAGATGGCCATGGGTTTGCCTAAAAATGGCGTAAGTAATTAGAATGAATGTATTACAAGAGAAAAAAATCAATACAAACAATATATAAATTAATAAATAGAATTATTGAGAGGACCATACTGGATTTCCACTATGGTCCTCTCATCTGTAGAAATGAGTAGAGAGCTAGCCTCTGTTACAATATGGGGATGCATTACTTTACTTAATTTTTGTATTTATAATATATTATTTCCTATCCACTAATGTATATTTATAAGGTCTTTTGCAAACATGATTTTCATAAATTCGTACTCAGTGGATCCAGAAGAATTTTGATCTCCCGTACGGGATTTTAGTCGTCTATCCTGCTTCGAATTCCCCTCCTGATTTTTTTTGACTCTGCATGCTTTGTGAAGAAACTTCCTCTTCAGTACTTTTGCATCTTTGATGAATTTTTGCATCTGAAATGTCAAATGTCACTAGGAGATCTAGGTCAACCTTCTCTGTATTTTGATGTGTAGTAACATGGTTTCAGAACTGATTTGATTGGAATTTCTCACTGATAGCTCATATATACATATGAGTGTAAAAGGAAGAAATGCAAACCTTTTTACTCAACCCCAGAGCAGTGACACGTGAGTGAAGAGCCACCCAAACTCTGTTTTAAATATTCACTCCAAACAGTGCTCCTGTATTCAAATTACAAAATTAGCATCTTATGAAAATAGCTCAAAGGATAAATAAAACAGGACTACTTATTTGACCTATTTTTTAACCAGATCTGAGGATTATATGTTTGAATTGATGAGTTACAGTGGGTATAATGTTGCACAAAGAGTAAGATACATTGGCTATTTTTAAACCAAGACAACATGCTGGTAAAAAAACAAGCATCTGCATGAATCTCTGAAGAGTTGCATTTATTGGCTCAATGCAACATTCTGCAGCTACCTGTTAGAACAATACCATACTCCGTGATGGAGACGGTTAGTGATTTTGATATACACTCACGGGCAATAATGAACACAGGTACGATTTATGATCGAAAAGGGTTAAAGGAACTCAGTCAAGTGTATTTTTCTGCTTGTCGTTTAGTACAGGTGCATTTTAAAAAACACTTGAAAATGTGTTGTTTTTTTTTAGCACACATGTGTATCGGGTTTGGGGGAAAACACTTGCTGTAACTTGTAGGATGTATGTGACAATTCAGATTTTTACAAGAATTTAATTTGGATTTGAAATCCGATAGCAAAGTTTGATAAATGCCCAGACTCAGGAGCTCAAACGTTTTATTTTTCTCCCCAAATTTTTTTGAGATGCATCTGTATAGGTAAGAATTAAGGAATTGGAGGGAATAACATTACCCATACAAATGTATAAAAGGCAGAGAGTAGAAAATGTGATGCTTATGCCTTATAATGACCAAACCGAACCAATTCCCAAGGTTTTCACAGAATGAAAAGACAAAATGTATGCACTGGACGGTTAATGAACATATGGCTGCTGACTGGAAAGTAACTACATTTACATGTGCTGTACTTAAGTAGAATTCTGAAGTAATTGATTATTTTTATTACTATTTTTGATACTTCCATTCTACTACATTTCAGATGGAAATTTTGTAGTTTTTACTCCACTACATTTTGTGACAGCTATAATTACATACATACATACAATACACTGTTGAGGATTAACAGTGTGGTCTCTAATCTTTTCGGCTTCTGATCTCTTACCCAAAAAAATGAGTATCCAACAATTCACAAAAAAGCAAAGATCAGAAAATTGTCCAAAAACTACTATTGACACTTTAAATACTTTAGTAATTTACTTCTTCCAAATTTTCTTAAGTAGGATTATGATTGCTGGACTAGTAAACTTAAATTACATTGTTGTATTGGTACGGTTACTTATGTAAAAGATCTGAATACCTCTGCTAGCACTGCTGATTGAGGAGGTCCTCCACCAAACCTCCCTCTGAGAAATCACAGTGACATTTTCTAAGAGTAATGATGCCCTCTGTAGGCTGTACAGGTTTGGTTTTGTGTGCTCGAGTATAGTGTTATGCGTTTTAATTGTACTAATCTAGTTCATCATCTCATTACTGCATTTAAGCCACCAGTTAATTACTTCCAACCCCTGCAGCTGTGCACCTTGGATCACATACTTTTTACATGTGCAGACATGTTGCAAAACCTCACTGTTACCTCTGCTTCAACTCCTGGTTTGCTTACATGCAGTGTGATAAACAGACACACATGACTATAACTACCAAAAAAAAAATCCATATACAGTTAGTATTGCAAACTGTTTATTTGTAGTAAATGAAAAGTGTGCAATTCAGTGAGTGGGGGAGGGGGAGAGAGAGAGAGAGAGAGAGAGAGAGGGGAGAGGCGAGGGGGTGTCAGGGACGGTCGATGTCTTTGGTCCATATTTTGGTGGTAGGGATGTCAATGATTCGGTGGGAGACAAGAAAAGGCACTTGAGTTTACAGTTGTCTCAGAAAAGTTGTCTTGACAAGAAGGACACAAGATCTACTGGAAAAATGAAGTAGATGTTTTAACCTCCATTATGCCTAATATGAATATCACATACAAAATGCCCCATGTGAGCACAAAATTATATAGCTACATATATGTATATACATAGGAAGGAATCAGAAAACAAAGTCAGGTGTGAAGAGGAAGAAGAAATGGTGAAGTGTTGGATTTATCCCCTTTGGAATTCTTTACAGGCCGAGGAAAGAAAGAAAAAGCCAGCAACTTTAAGCAGGACAAAATTTCTTTGGCGAATAACCTAATATTCCTACAGCTTGGAATGTAAAACCAAAAAAAAAAAAAAAAAAAAAAAGTGAAACGGACAAAATCCCAGATGAGGAAACTACTCTGAGTCTTGACTGAACAAGTCCAGCACCTCCAACACTAGATATATGTTGGAATAAAAGCAGATTCTGTCCTGCAACCCACCATCATTAAGCAGAGGAGAACTGGTTGAGGAATTTGGTACAATTTCCCCATCAACGTCAGTCAATAAAAATCTCCGACATAACAAAGATACCACCTTAAGCAATTAAAGGAATACACCTTCTTACTGTGACTTAGATGAGAGGATTGATAACACACGATGCTGCCGTGAGTAGCCTTCAGGCTGGAAACTTCTAACTTGGCTCTGTCCAAAGTTAACAAAATCCACCTAAATGCACCTGTAAATCTCACTCATTAACACATTACATCTTTTTTTGTTTAATCCATTAAAAAGACAATTCTCCATTTTTAAGGAGGGTTATGTGCTGGACTACATCTTGGCTTTGAGCGGTCACCAGGCCAGCAGCGGAGACTCCAGGAAGATACTGACCAAGAAATAACCTGGCACATGAACCCTGTTAAAACTGAATTATCGTTGTTGTAAAGGTTCTTGTATAAACAAGATATAGCATGTAAATTAGTGAGCTTTAGAAGTGCCGGAAACAAAGCTGTTTCCACCTCTTTCCTAGTCCCATTCAGGAATAATACTCTGCAGAAGAGATAGTTACTGTGGTTCCACGAAAAGCTCTGGGAGGCGGCTGTGTGTTGCTTTTTAATGGAGGCGGATGTACTTTTGCCAAACAACCAGTTAAGTCTTTTTTCTCGTAAAACCAGAAAATACAGTTTGAGAACACTGCTGCTGAAGCATGTGTTTCAACTTTTGGTTGCTTAACCAATTCAGTTTTCTAGTGCTTCTTCGCCTCACTGTAGAATGCCAAGCCGTAATGGACTAATTTCTGCTCCTGGAGGGAGGAAAACTATTTAACCACAGGTGTCGTTTGTTCCCCCCCAAACAGCCACAGGGGGCAACAATGAGCAAAGGTGCGATTTATGCTTTACCAGAAGTGTTTTCAAACAGTAAGAAAGGGAATGAGCATATCTCCCAAAATGTCAAACTGTTCGTTTAAGTCAATGGGTAACATACTTCATACTTATGTATCATTACAGCACATATTTACCAAAGAATGCAAGTTAGCAATCATTTCTCCATAATATTCACTACTATAATTACTGGATAATAATAATAAAAATAATAATAATCTCACTATATTCAAAAGAAGCCTATGGAGGGGAAAAAAGAGGGGGGGGCATAGTATTTTAAATTCATTTTTTTCAGAAGTCTACTTAAGGGAAGGCGACACATTATGAAGAAGCAATAATGTAACAACCAGTTTTACACTACAACCTTGCAGCTCCACATACTTGTATGCACATAACTACAAGATGATGGGACATGCGGAATCACCAGGGCTTGCTATCCCTTAATAGGAGCCCGCTGCAAGAAGATGATGAGGTATTCACCAGCTTTTTGTTCACAAACTATGGACCCTACGGTGAGACTCAACCCTAGCAACAGCCTTGAAGCGTCTACTTGGCAGCCACAGAGAAATAAAATCTGTGAAATCAATACAACCTTCCAATGCATTCATCAGTTTGTTGAATTTTACTTTCACAGACGAGATAAAGCGAGTATATAAAAAAGGGGAAGAAGAGATCTTGCAGCTTATTCTTACACATAATCATAAACCGCACGTCTGCTCTACAAGTACCGTCTGATTAGAAAAGCAGTCATGATGCAGACATCCATGTCTATAGAAAGGCAAATGTGAAGTCTCTCTGTCACTAAAGGCAAGCACGTCATTTATATGCCATTCACGTGCATATAACAACATAACACAAAGGAGAAACGGTGCATGTGGAAGAAAATCCATCTGAATAAATGTTGAGAACTAACCATAAAACAGCATGTGGACCGTTTCCTTTCTTGTGAGTTTTAACACATCATTTAACATTATTCTACAAAAGGTAATGAGCCCTCTCTCTGTTATAAAATAATGGACAGCAAGCCAAGGACAACAGCACACATGAAAGCCCAGTTGGCCAGTGAGAGCGTGATACGTCACTTCCTTGAGCAATATTTAAAGAAATGGTTTGACAACTCGCTTATTTGCTCTCTTGCAGAGTTTGATAAGAAGATTGATCCCACTCTCATGTCTGCACGGTATATACAAAGCTACAGCCAGCAGCTGATGAGCGTAGCTTAGCATAAAGGCCGGAAACAAGGGAAACAGCTAGCTTTGCTCTGTTTAGCACATAAAACCACAACTTGTAGTTTTTACACCTCAACCTTTGTACAGAGTAAACAAACAAGATAGAAAGTGTTAATTGGTGAGCTTTAGAGGTGCAGGTAGGCTGATTTTGTTACACTAGAACAGGTAACTGCTGCTGGTGATAGCTTTATAATTAGCATACAAACATCAGAGGTATCGATATTCTCATCTAACTCTTTGCAAGAAAGGGAAGGAGCTATTTCTCAAATGTCGAACTATTCCTTTAAGAGGACAACCTTGGTTACTCTCAAACACATCTAAGTCCTAGCATTAACACGTTTCCTATTGTTTGTAGCAGCCATACGAAAAGCTCTGGATTACAGTTTGATATGTTTCATTTTATACCTTGCAAACAATTAACGATAGTCTGTAGTGTTGATTGCGTGTATACTCTCCTGATGACAGAAACCCCTGTTAATGCCGGAGCTACTTTTGCACTTTCACAATGCTTTCCACGGTGAAGGCATTGAAATGGTTCTGGGAGACAAGGAAAAGAAAAAAGATCTGAGGTGCAAATCAGAGAGCTGACAAAAGCCACAGCAAAAATAGAAATAGTACTAAGAGTTCAACTTCAATAGTGCACAAATTGTTGCAGGTAGTCCTGTCAGTCTCTGGCAGACTGCTTAACTTCAAACAATTAATAAGAGACTGACAATAGCATAGCAATCAACAGAGCCTAAAGATAGAAGCTGTTACCATATCCAGAATGGGGCAAAAGGAAGAGCGATTACAGAAGAGTGAGAGATTTTAAAGTTTGAGGGATGAATAGATTGATGCAGAGAGGTGGCACTACAGCTCAACTGACGGGAATATGTAAACTTGTATTCTATTCTTCATTGAAAGGAGTTAGTAGGGGGTAGACTGTCTAGGTTATGGGGAGGGGAAGGCAAGGGTTAGTAGATGGGCTGGATTGAGCACGGGATTTCTAATGTCAAGGGCAGTGCGTCCGCGGAGGCCTTTGGGGCAGGCCGTTATGAGAGGGTCGGTCTTGGTTGTAGGAGGACGTGGAGGAACGGGAGGGGCCTCTCGAGTTGTTAAAGTGATGTGAAGTAGGACCAGAGGAGCCACTGTCACTCTGGTAGCGGTGGTTAGCACGGCCGGCATTCCTGTCATGGTAGGAACTGCCGTTGTACCGTGGGCCCGAGTGATACCCTTGTCCCTGGAAGGTACGCCTGTTGCCTTGGAAAATCTGAGAGGAGAATTACCAGTCAGAATTATTTACATGATGACAATAAACTGAATCAACATCTATGAACTGTGAGGCCACTTTACGGTGTGACCGACAAACTGCTTTTCCAGCTGACCTGTTTGTTTGGTGGAGGGCGGTTTTCACTGGGGATGCTTTGGGTCTGGGTGGGAGGAGGAGTTTCCAGCAGGCTTGGGCTGGCGACAGAAGAGGACGTGGAGCTACAGCGGGACCGATTTGAGTAGCCTGTTCGTGGATGGTAAACTGTAAAAGAAACCACAAGGTCAATCACAAACAGTATAAACTGGGACCTGTCTCAAGCAGGATTTCTAAATTTTTAGCCTAGTCTACAGTTGGGATTTGAAGGGGGGCCCTGGGTTTCAAGCAAGCGGCAACCCCCGGGTCTTAAAAGTGAAGACAATGCGAAAGTGCATTAAACCTGCATTATTTCTAATGGCCAGCAGGGGGCACCACTGGTTACAAAAGTCCATGACAAAATGATCGTACTTCTCACCTGATTACCTCAGTAAACACTTTCCTAGTAAGTGTATGGTCTTAATTGCTAGTTCCAATTTGTAAATTATGGTCCCTTTTGGAGAAAAAAAATAGATGATAAAGCAGGGTTTAGAGGGTGGCTACCTTGAGACTGACAAATTGTTACCATGCACCGTCAATGAGGATAATCATATCGACTGCACTGTGTACATTTAACAAACACCATTAAAAAAGCTTATTTAATAGCACTGCATTTAACGAGCTCTGAATTTGTTTTTGATTGCAGTGTGCTTTGCCCTCAGAACTTTGATGCTTCCCACAGTAAGTTTTCAGTTTAGGAAAGTTAATTTTAACACTTTGGTTGCCTAAAAATGTCCTGTTCTTGTTATAGCACATTTTAGTTGCTTAATTTTCTCAATGAAGTCACACAGGAAGAAGCACAAGTTATATTTAGCTTTATTTATGTGTCAACACAAAAAATGTTATGATCTCAGCTTTGGTGGCTATTGGATGTCATAACCTTTCAGTACCAGCTATATTGTGTCCATAGCACACAGTATGGGAAACCTTTAACCACTGAGAGCCGGCAGCAAAGCAAAAGCAAAGGGGTTTTTGAAGGAACAATTAGTCTTTTTGTATTTTCAGCCTTGTCTACTTCTTCTCTAAATCATCTAAAATGGCACATTTTGGCCTTGTTTTGACATTACCTACTGTCAGTCTGCTGACAAACTGCCTTATAAAAAGTGTTTTGTGATTGGTGGGGAAGACTTTTATCGTTCAGGATTAATAAATTGGGGATGGGGTGTATTTTCTGAAATTTTCATTGGAAGATAAAACTAGATGAATGAGATCTCGTACCTGATCCAAACCCTATGATGCTCGTCTTCAGCGGTTCAAGATCAAATGTAAATCTTACAGCTTTCCCAAGGTCCTCATCATATTTACGCTCACTCACAAAGTGCTGCAAGAAAAGAGACAACAAGTTATACTTACTTATAATTACCAGCATGCTACAAAATGAACCAGGTAAATGTATTGTAGCTGTTAGCGAACCCTGTCTTTCAAATATTTATGCAAGGGTTTCACCTTGGAAAAGACAAAAAACAAACAAAAAAAAAACCTTGCTACAAATTTCTTTTTCATTAGCTTTCAATAGTGACTCAACAATTAACACCCACTTCACATTTAGTCAACTGTGTACAGTCAAACACTGTGAGAAAGAGACAGAGGCCAAACTGGAGCAGCAGTGTTGCTAAAGCACCTTGATGTCTGCACGCAGTTCAGTCAACTGCTCCTCAGACATGGATGCCGACTGGTCTGTCAGCCGTCTGAGCTCCTCTGCTCTCTTCTGTCGGGCGTCCAAAATCAACACTGAAACACAAGAAATGTGATCTTAAACAGATTTGTAACTGGTTTTAGTGGAAGCTGCCTGTTGTATGAAACCTACAATAGGACCTTCAATCTTTTTTTGTGCATAGTGTTCCGGTTTCAGACTACATTTTCTCAACAGTAGATCCTCCGTATTTGCATAAGTGCAACTTGGTCGCACACTAGTTATAAAAGAAATGGCTGTTTGACAGCAAGGTAAAGTGCTAGAAAGCATATAGCATACACTTCAACCTTCTTTTAGGTGGCTAAAATATATCTAGCAGTACATTGTCAAGCTTCTGTGCAGGTACAACTCATTGTATCTATAATCTAAGGACATGCCATCCACTGGAGGCAATAGTACTTCATACAGCCCCAATTCAAAAATCCTTAACTATCCCTTTAAATGATTTGTTGATTATCAAAGTAGCAGCATACGATTATGATTTTATCATAATTTTCTGTCGGCTGATTAATCAATCAACCTATGGTTTCAGTTTTACTACAAATATTCCCTGCAATCCCAGTAAGTTTCATTTTCCTGTGAGAACTCAGCTGTAGTCTTTTGAAATGACAAGTACAAAGTGCATCTGACGTGGCACCTAAAAAAAAATAAAGAGGTAAACAAGGGTCAAAGATAAAGCGGTTTTCAAATCAAGACACTATATGCTAATGTGAAGCTGCAGAAGTGACAGACACAAGCGTCATAAATTAAACACATCTCTATGTTTTAACTCAGTTAATGTTCTAATACATTTCACCTGCGCTTCAAACAAAGGAGCAGTTAAATCTACATACAGTAGCTATGATCTCCATAACAGTGTCAACTACTTAAAACCACATGTCCTGTGACTGCACTGCTTCCTGGTGTACTCGCGGAAAAGCTGAAGAAACGTAGCATCTCTTCTACGCTGGACGCCTCTCCCTGTATGATGCTGAGTATCAATGTTAAACAGAGAATCAACACAGAAGTGCTGCTTTCTGCTTTTTTCTGTCACAAAAAATAAAAACAGACACGTACCTCTGTTTTAGATTTATATACTTCACAATAGTATAGCTGAAATGATTTGTCGGTTAAATGATCGGGTTGATCGACAGATCGCCTGTTTTGATAATCGATTAATGAAGACATTTGTTCTAGTTCTTTAGTAATAATTTGCTGTTTTTCAACATTTCATATTATTTTAAACAATTGTTTTGTTGATTGGACAAAACACCACATTTGAGAAGTATTCTTTTATTTACTGATTTTATTTAAACAATACTTACTATAAAAACTATTTTGATGATCGATTAATTGTTTTTAATCAAAAATGCAAAAACAAATCTATAGTTCCAGGTTATCAACTGTGAGTATTTGCAGTTTGCCGACTGTCTTATGTGATAGAAAACTGAATATCTTTGGGTTTTGGAAAGTTGGTCGGACAAAACAAGCAATCTGAAGAAGACGCCTTGGATTTAAGGAATTTGTGATTAGTCTGTTAAATGTCAGAAACTAGTGAAAAATGGCAAATAATTCATTGATCAATTGAGAGGAATTATTTGGTAGGTTAATTTATAATTAAAATACAGCCCAAGATATTAGTAGCAGCTGCAGTGCTGCTACCTACCGTACCACAGAAGGGATCAATCAGAATCATTAGATACCAAATAATATAAAACCTTAAATTATTTTTTTTTGCTATTTGTATATCTACATTCAGAGCCGTTTATCAGTTTTTTTTTTTCCTGCAGGGAACGAAAGGTTATAAAAGAAACCATCAGTTAACACAAGAAGCAGATTAGTAGAAGCTAAATTTTGAGAAACCTGGCTTTTGTAATGCCGAAGAAATACTAGAGTTTCTTCGCTTTCCTCTCAATTCCCCACACACCTTCCACAAAGACAGCATTGAGTCTCCCCTGACACCTGACACTATTCACTCTGTCCAGGCCTGAAACACACAGCACTCTACACTGAGAGGACAGAATAGAGTATGGCCTACTTGTACAAATATGCAGTCTTGCTCTGTCATGTTTTAGACACACACACACACACACACACACACTAGGTATATTCCCCTGAGGGCACCACTGCAGTTCTGAGGAAACTAGGACTTGCTGTTCCACAACAATCTCTTTTACTACTATTCTGGAGGTGATTTAGGTCAGATTCTCCAAGCCCTCGAGTCAGGTGATCATATTATGTGAAGAATACTAACAGCTCCTGGGTGGTATGAGACATGCTGGGTTTTGGTTCAGTACATTCACCACACACTTGAAAATACAGTACTTACTGGACTCTGCTTTCACTTTGTCCATTTCTCCCAGTAGAGTTACTTCTCTGTCCATTAAACTAAAAAAAAAGAAAAAAAAAAAAAGAGAGAGATCATTTTACTTTACTCAGTACAAGATAAGAAGAAATATTGTGAACAGTGACTTTGCACTGAGATTGCAAAGCAATTCCAGTAACAAAGAGGTGGCTGCACACTTTGGGATCAGAAATACAGCAGCGTCTGATACACTGTGTGATATTAGTAGTAACATAATGCAGTTCTCCCTTGTGCCATAGAACAGCATATGAGCGCCATTATCACGTGACCGTGAGACATGATCATAACCCTGAGAGTATTATTGTGTTTATGCCACAGTTTAGTTGCTCAGCAGCTACTAAGACAAAAAAAGTGAATGAGAAATTTCATTTAAATCATGGGAAGGAAAACAGTTCCATAATATAGGTAGCTAGTAGAATGGTTAGAAGTGATGGGTAAAATATTACTCCGGTGGCATTTTTTGAACACTGGTACCATGGAGCTACGAGTGGGTAACCATTTTGTTTGTATTGTTCGTCCCAAGGATGCACATGCATGAATGCAAGTATACAGGCACACACAGACATTCAGGGAGGTGGGGTGGTTTGCATCTGATGCCCCCCAACTATTACAAGCCAGTGGTAGTGGTGGGAGCTAAGAGAGGTGCTAAATGGATTTCACATTCAGCTTAGAATATTGACAGGAAACCACAGGATAATCATAGTGAACAGCTTGAAAATTAGAGTAATGCAGAGGTGGGGCGCGAGTGCTCTCATCCGCCTCTACTCTGGTCATCCCTGCCATGACCAGAGGCAGATTTTAGAAGAAATTTATTCACCAGCTCTGGAGCTCAGCAAATGTCTGCTTCATTCTCTTGATTGAGGAGTCCATCTCCTCCTTGACCACCATCCTGTAGCGAGTCAGTGAGGCAGTGCATCTCTGCAGGTCCTTCACAGAGCGGTCAATGTTAGAAGCTGAGGGGTAAATGTTAAACATTAGTTAGGCACATGTTGCAGAAGAAGTGCTACGATGCATTTGGTCCCAGACTAAGTTTTCACCATGCCTTGGAAAGGCTGGATTAGGAGTAAGAAAAATAGTTTACTAACCTATCTTCTTGGCTCCTGACGATCCTTGCTCATCAGTGGTGGGTGCTAATAAGGGAGTGGGTGGATGTGAATTTGAGCCTGGCCTCTGTCGGGTCTTGTTGCCTCTGGGACCCTGGTGATTCCTCCCTCCTTGCTGTAAAGCGGGACTTGGAGCACTACCTGGACTTTCTGCTTCTGCACCTGTGAGAAGACAGAGTAAATTAGATAATTTCCAAACCAACTGTCCCCAAAACTGCTTTAAAAAAAAAAAGAGATAAGCCAGAATAGTCAACCAGTCTGTCAGCAGTTTGAGTATTTGAGTTAGATGCTTTCCTAAAAACCTTTAGATTCCTTAAGTGCAATACAAGTTATCAAAAACAGTGAAAACAGTGGGATTTGGTATGATAATTTGTACATAAATTGGACAATTGTGCATTTAGCAAAAGATTATGGAACAATATATACAGTCACAGAAAGCAACAACACAGACAAGGTTTTGGGCCTCAATGAAATTCATATTTTTTTCAAAAGCTCTCAACTACACTAACTTTTCATAAATTGCTAGTTTTGATCTAATGAATGCTACCTGTTCATTAGGAGGTACTCGTACGTGAAATTTGATCATCAAAATTGCCATCACCAAATTTTTATATTTGGCTGCTTGTTCGTGGGAAAGTTTAATTCACAAAAATGTTACCCAAGAGTAAAAGCAAGAAATTCAACAGTGCGGATTTCTGTTATCAGAAATCAGCAGATGCAAACACAGCAAAAGTAGCAGTCTCAGTAGTCACATTAGCTGTCAATGCTGTGTCATCAAAGTAGAATGGTTTTCTGACAATGTTATTTCTTATGTAGTAAAATGGTCCATGACTTGGATGGAAGACGGTTAATGGGATGTGAATGTCACACAGACAGACATTTTATACAGTAGGTGATGTAATGCAGAGGAGTGACATTTGCTCGTCCATGCAAAATAGTTGGAGGCCAGAAGCTTGGTGACAAGGACTTTTCGCAGGGATAGTGGTGAACCACTAAGTTAAAGTAAAGGTTCATTTTGCAAAACTTCTTTTGCTCAGACGGCCTTTTCCGTGAAAGGAGCAAAGAATTGCTACCTAAACACTTGAAAACTGCTGCAAACTTCACCACTTTTAAAAGAGAGGCCAAGTCCTGGTTAGTTCAGCAACAAATGTGTACTCACATCTAGTTTACTGTAGTTAGCATTACATGTTTTTATTGTATTTTGACTTATGCATTTTACCTCCTTTTATCTTGTGTTATATTGTAATGTCATCATCATCATCATCTTGTATTTTCTTTCATAACTGTTTTAATGTTTTATTTCTTTAAAAGCCCTTTTTAGGGACAGGTGTTGCAAATTAGCAATTGCTTAAAACAGAACACACACATTGGATTGCTGTTTTCAGTTTATCTTTGTTAGATGAATCGGTCCCTAATACAAATAAGCCAAATAAATAAAAAGAAAAAAAGAGAGATGCTAACTGCTCAGAAACAATAGCTCTCAGGGCTTCTCTCTACTATTGGGTTTACTTTCCCCTGGCATTTCATTCACTATTGAACATCATTTCATTCAATAAAATTTATTCAAGGAGGGAAAATGAAGCTCTCTGAGCTAACAAGAGTGCCAATGGACACTTAACAAACTCATTAGCTTGTTAGCTAACTGGACGATAAGTTCACAGTTTAATAAAAAGACGTGTATGTACCAATGGCTACTATCTCGTGACTGTCTAGTACAAACCATTGCGCTTTTATGGTAAATTATCTTCCATAACAGTTTTCACAACAGAGGAGGTTAATAAAAGTAATTAGTTCCAGACAGCTAAAAATCTATGATGGCTTCCTCTATTTTGGACTCTCCATCCCCTCAAAGGTCAGCACTTTCAAGACAACCTGTAATTTATTGGTCAACAGCGCAAATTCACTAGTAGAAGTTCACCAACGTTGATCTCAATGTGGAACATTTAGCCTGAAATTGTTTTATCTTTAAATGGTGAAATGGCAAATCAGAGCAGACTTTTACATATCTATATCTATGCTGATTGAAGCAGGTAATCCTCACCCCAGCATGACAATGTCCTAAAAATAATAATAAATATAAATCACTTCTAATCCCTCAGCCCTTCATCATTTATCAGAGCTGTTGATTACCGGTGGTTTCGGATGTAGCGGGCTCAGAGTCCAGCTCAGCGGCATCCAGGGAGGCGGAGTCCAACTGTTCACTCAGAGAATCAAGTGACTCTCCATCCATTACCGATCCGTTGGCATGAAAGCCATTCATCTCATTCTTGTCCTCCTCGGGCAATCTGGTCTCAGGTGGAGCAGGCTCTGCTGTGGCCTCTGGCTGAGGCTTGGGCTTCTTTTTCTTCTTGGGCTAAACATGGAGATATCAGTGTCAAACTTCTTTGTGTAAATTCACTTTGCTCACTGTACCTATCCTAATCAGAGCTGTGACTTGGACCAATTCACTGTGCACGCGGACACATGTGCGCGCACACATGCACACGTTTTAATTTAAGCTACAGCTGGATTACAAATTGTGAAATTCACATGCCCTGCCTTAATCTTTAGTTTGTAATTAAGGAAGGGCACTTTGCTCATCTAATTTTAGTAACTACAGCAATTACAAACAAATACTTCAAAAACTAGGGCTGACATAAAATATGCTGACTCAACAATGAGCCATCTAAGATGCAGGCATTCTGGTTCTCACCTTCTTTTTGCCAGTGACATTCCACTCCTTCAGGATCTCAACTGCGCTGCCTGAGGTATAAAGCAAACAACCATGACGCAGGAACACAGTGAGGCATGACAGACTTCAAACTCTTGTAATACCGATCTCAATATCTGATTGAGGCGTAGTGTAGACACCACTAATCACAACACAAACAAAGCAGTGTGACGTTCAGGAACAACCTTCTTGTTCTATATTTAAACTTGCAAAACTATAAAGGCATGCAAATGACGCTCAGACCTCTGAATACAAAACACATGCATGTTCTGAAGGTTGTGTTTAGCAGCAGCAATGTGGGCAGCATGCCATGACAAGGTCATACTGGAAATACATTATACTGTAGTATATTACAGAATTATTGTGGCAGACATAGATTATTCTTCATGTGGTGTAATTATCACTGTCTTTAAGCCATACTTGTTGTAAAATATGCAATACTACCAGTTTTGTGGTAGCATGTATAATTATGCAAATATTTATAAGAGGAAGCTTTAAGGGCCAATAATTTCCCACTGCTGAGGTCAAACACTTGACATCCTCATACCTTCTAAGAAAGCTTGAACGGCCTTGTCCACACAGTTCTCGAAATGCTGTAACACTAGCACAATCTCATTGTTACTTTTGTTGGGGACAACCGCCCTGACAGCACTGATCTGTAAAATAAAGTATGAAGGGAACAGGTTTTAATATCCTCTAAAACAACATTCAAGATGACTCAACATTTACTGTAAATTCACAATTAAGGTATTTCAACATTTAATTAACACCTGGCTTAAGGACACAGCAATGAACTCTAGTTTTATTACTCTCCTCTCTATAAAAAGAGTCAGTTTTATTTTTTGCAAAGGAAGAAAGAAGGTGCGTATTATACAAACTAGCAGCTCTAATGCAAATACTCACAATTTTTATTTATTATGTTTTGGGTAGCTCGTGAGAAGAACCAAAATATTTGTTAGCAGTGTTGGCACTAATTCTTTACTGGTGCTTACATTCAGTGTAGCTCTATTTTGAGCTACACTGAATGTAAGCACCAGTAAAGAATTAAAACCCTGAAAAATTGTTTTTAATTAAAACCAAAACCTTAATAATTAGCCATGAAAACATTATGACACCATGTGAAACTGTTTACTGTCCCAAATTATTTATAATAATTGAATTCATTATAAATGAACAGCTTTAAAGACGACGAGACTCATCACGAGACTAAATAATGATATACCTTAGGCGAAGTAATTTCTTAATGGGATTTCAGTGGGATCTAAAGTGTTGAGCGATTTAACATCTCAGTAACTGCTACAGACACAGATAAGTTAACTCTCATCAAGTCAAGAATAACCTAAGACTCAAGACTGGCTCTAAACATTGCATTTTTCCTTTAGTAACACTATAATTGTTGCTCATGCTCTGACAACCTACCCTCTCGTGTCTACTGTTGCCCAAAAGCAGCTCATTAGGAATCTGCTGTGCAGAGCCCACAACTAATGAAGCTGAATGTCAAGGCTTAGGAGCTAATCCACCAACTACAGAACGATTAATTCATTAGTTGTCAACTATTACATTTGTTGGCAACTATTTTGATAATCAATTAATCTGTTTGAGTATTTTTTTTTTTTTTTTTTTTATCTAAATTCTCTGATTCCAGTTTCTTAAACTTGAATATTTTCTGATTTCTTCTCTCCTCTGTGACAGTAAACTGTACATCTTTGGGTTGTGGAAAAAACAAAACATTTGAGGAAGTTTGGGCTTTGGGAAACACTGATCAACATTTTTTTTTTTACAATTTTATAGACCAAACTACAAACCGATTATTCAAAAAGGAAAGTAATCGTTAGTTGCAAACCTACAACCAACACAGAGCGGAAATATTTAATTTTGGAAACATTAGTCCTTAATGTTACACACCTTTTGTGATTTTACATTTCAAATGTAACCCTTCACTAAAGAACCTGCAGGCTCTCTGCGCCAGCCATGTGCAGTATAAACCTTACCTTCTCCTTCATCCTCTCAGCTGTTCCTCCCTGGGACATGGCCATTTTTGAGCGAGTGTCAAACACCACCCCAGATGTATCTGGAAAAATATAACAAAAAGGAAACTCCATTGTCTGTTTGGGCCTTGAATCATATTTGCAAACCACTGTAGGTCAACATTTGCTAAACAAAACAGCCACAAGGCACCTTCACAGATTTCCTGGAAAGAGCAGTCGGCTACGTTCAAGAATCATGTTCAGAAACACTTTGCAACGGCAGACTTGTGCTTGTGAAGCCATTTGTCTTTGTCACCAAGCAAAAAGCTGACACTTTTTATCAAAATCAAAGATTTGCATCGTGGAGGTGGAAGGACATGTTAGTTAGGCGTTTAAGCACAGCCACTTCAGCTACCAGCACAAGCAGCAAACACTTGTGAAAACAAAAAGAAATTAAAACTCATCACGTGTCTGGAATCTGCAGCTGATTTAAATGACTATAAACCAATGAAGGTTTTCAAAAAGACATTGTCGTAAGAGGATGAACCTCAGGGTCTCTGTCATCAGAGTTAAGGTAAAGAAATAAAAAAATATATATTTTCAACAAAAGGTCTAAGGTCATTTCTTTTTAAAAGTTTGAAACAAACTCTTACAGCTGAGTATGACAAGTCAGGGTAAAGTCCAAAGTTAATCTATGGCCATTTAAAGACAGGAGAAAACAGCTGAGCCCTTGTAAAAGTTGTTTTTCCCATGCATGAAAGTAGGTTAATGTCTGCAAATGTTCACAGCATTTCTCTTTACAACAATTCAACAAGTATTGCAGTCTGTTAGTCTGTACTAATTTTAGGACCACTCACATAGTTTCCAGTTAAAAACAACTATGCACAAAATTACTTGTTAAATAACTTACAAAAAGTATGATCGACCTGTAACTAAATGCTGTAGCCATTTAAAAAAATGTGTTTCTATACTAAAATATTAAAAATATAGATTTTTATATTTATATTATTTAAATAAAGAAAGCAAATACATACCCTTTTGGCTGTTTTTCTTTGCCATGTCGTCACACAGAGGTATCGTGGAAATGATTGGTTGAAAGGTTTGGTTGTATACTTCCTCAAGAGCTATAATAACCCTTCAAATATGTTTAAGCTGCCTTTCAAATAAGTGTGTTAAATTTCACTGTGAGTTTTCCTTGTTCGAAATGACGCCAGCAACTGGCAGGAGAGTTGGAAGAACAGATCAGGCATACACCATTTAGGCAAAGATGCAGGTTTTCCTCTTGTTTCTCCACCACGTTGATCCAAACCTGTGGGGAAAAGGAAAAAATAAATAAATCAGCTGCGTTATGAGAACCAATGATTGAAAACACTTACATTGAAAGTAACTGTAGCCGTTATGTATGAAGCAAAAATGCACAGACACTAAATCTCCACTTTTGTGAGATATAAAAATATTAATGCAAATCAAATGAAATCCATTTCTCCTGGCTAAAAAATATGAATGAAAACCAGATTTTAATAAGTTATTGTCTGTCTGGCAGAGCATTCTCAAAAAAATCTGCAGTTAATATTGTCCTTGGCAAGAAGGCTGCATTTAGTTTGGAAGAAAAAAAGTTAGTAGGACTGTAGAGAAACACATCTTTCAAGGTTATTTCTCCCTTTTCTCAGTTCCCTGCAGGAGTGTTGGGTGATTATGTTATGAGGTCTACACAGAATATTCACCATGCCTTCATGCTCTGGGCCCTCTGAATGGGCTGATGATGACTTTAACTGACAAATGTTTTTAATAGGCATGATCAAGAACTTCCTCAAAAATCTGTCACAGAAAAAAGTATGCGAACCCTTTAGAATGACCTGGATTTCTGCATAAATTGGTCATAAAATGTTACCTGATTTTCATCTAAGTCACAACAATAGACAAACACAGTCTGGTTAAACTGATTCCACACAAACATTGAAAACTATGTTTTCATTGAACACACTGAGTGAACAGTCAGTGCATGGTGGAAAAAGAATGTGGGCCTCTAGGATAATAACTTTTCCAAAAGCTAATTGGAGTCAGAAGTCAGCCAGCTTGAAGTCCAATCAATAAGACGAGATTGGAGATGTTGGTTAGAGCTGCCCTGCCCTATAAAAACACAATTTTAATTTTGCTATTCCCATGAAGCATTGCCTGATGCGAACCATGCCTCGAGCAAAAGAGCTCTCAGAAGACCTAAGATTAAAAATTGTTGACTTGCATGAAGCTGGAAAGGGTTATCTCTAAAAGTCTTGATGTCCATCAGTCCACAGTAAGACAAACTGTCTATATGGGAAAAGTTCAGCACTGTTGCTACTCTAGGAGTGGCCGTCCTGCAAAGATGACTGCACGAGAACAGAGCAGAAAGCTCAACGAAGTTAAGAAGGATCCTAGCGTGTCAGCGGAAGACTCAACATGCTGACGTCTCTGTTGACGACTCTACAATACATAAAAGAACAAGAAGAAGTTCATGGGAGGACACCACAGAGGAAGACACTGCTGTCCAAAAAAACACAGCTGCACTTGTGAAGTTTGCAAAAGAGTGCCTGGATGTTCCACAGCACTACTGGCAAAATATACTGTAGACAGATGAAACCAAAGTTGAGTTGTTTGGAAGGAACACAGAATCCTATGTGCGGAGGAAACAAGGCACAGCACACCAACATCAAATACCTCATCCCAACTGTGAGGTATGGTGGAGGGGGCATCATGATTTGGCTGCTTTGCTGCCTCAGGGCCTGGAGTTGTTATCATCGACGGGAAAATTCCAAAGTTTATCAAGACATTTTGCAGGAGAATGTAAGGCCATCTGTCTGCCAGTTGAAGGTCAACAGGATGATGCAACACGACAACGACCCAAAGCACAGAAGTAAATCAACAGAATGGCTTCAGGAGAAGAAAATACACCTTCTGGAGTGGACCAATCAGAGTCCTGACCTCAACCCGACTGAGATGCTGTGGCATGACCTCAAGAGAGCGATTCACACCACACATCCCAAGAATATTGCTGAACTGAAACAGATTCGTAAAGAGGAATTGCCAAACTTCACTCCTGATCTGATCTGAAACTACAGGAAACGTTTGGTTAAGGTTATTGCTGCCAAGGAAGGTCACAACCAGTTATTAAAGCCAAGGGTTCACATACTTTTCCCACCCTGCACTGTGACTGTTTCCACAGTGTGTTCAATAAAAACATGGAAAGATATAATTGTTTGTGTGGAGTTAGTTTAACCAGACTGTGTTTGTCTATTGTTGTGACAAAATCAGATCACATTTTATGACCAATTTATGCCGAAATCCAGGTCATTCCAAAGGGTTTGCATACTTTTTCCTGCGACTGTACGTTGGATGTTCATAGAGCCAAACTCATAACTGATGGCACAAATGGTTCCAGCATTATAACTGAAATAAAGATTTTTGACTATAGGCCTTTGAACTCAGTTATGCCTTGAAATGGCAATGTGCTTTTAATTTTCACAACTCACAAAATTAAACTGTAAAATTGGCCACTGAGGAAGCTGACTAGCGGTCAGACTAATAATACAGAGAGTTTCACTTCATAATATTACATAATTTCTCTGTTCTCAAATTCAATCTGCAATTGACTGTTTTTTCAAGTAGAGAAACATTTTTGTAAATTAAAAAAAAATAGACACATCCACACTTTTTTAGCAGAGGGGGAAAAAAAAAATCTGCAAACCTCTGAAGACAATTCTTGGTGGTGAAATGATGCCATCACTTACTCTACTAATATCCCAATTCCTATTACTGACTACTGCGTAATATGTCCCTTTAACCAGACCTTCAGCAACTTGACTCAATTTTATGGCCCCCACCCCCTTTTAGGTTTCTGTCCCTGGTTCTCTAGAAAGGGAAACTTAAAAAGCTGTACAAACCCACACCCTCCTGATTATGACTTGGCATGCCACAGTCCTGGTTCCACCACACCTTTGCAAGCGTCAGACTGACATAAGCACAATCAACAAGTGACACTGCAGCAGCCAGTCACGCAAAGACTAGGATGCATTATGTTTATCAAGAGGGATGGTGCTCGAGTCCTCAAGAGAGCCAGGTGCACTTGTGTTGAGTGATGCCATTCAGTGCTAACTCAGCAATCAAATAAACACTGGTGACTGAAAAGCTTGAATTGAAGAAGTTGACAAATTTAAATAAGGCCGTTATGTGCGACACATCCAAGAGGAAATTAAGAGGTGTTTCTGTCACACTGAGAAACCACTGTCAATCTCAAACAAGACTGTAGGGACATCAGTTTTTATGGAGGTCAACTTTTAAGTTTAATTTGAAATATTTTCAATCGCTAATGCCAAATAACGCAGACAGAGAAACATCGAGAAACCAGTTGTCTCTGTGTGTATAGTATTAGTCATTGAACACGGAGCACTTCTTAATCCAGACTAGAAAACTAAACATCCTTAATTGAAACAGGTAATATTGCATTTCAGCTAGCTTATCAGATAAGCATCCCTGTCATCATATGCCGCAGTTAAGCAAGCATGATCAATTCATTTGTTTCTACAATTCGGCCTGCTGCAGAAGTCAAATTAGCCTCGGGCTAACAAATCCAAATTGACACAGTGTCCTACAATCTCAGAAAAATGATAACCCTAGCGTTAGCGTCAACAGCTTCACGAATACCATCCATCAAATATCCAACTCCGTGTTAATGTTGGTCAACTAATCTTGTCTGCTGGACGGTGTGGATAAAATCTGAAATGTTAGCAGAATATGGAAACGTTGGATAAGTTAACTTCGAGCTGAATTTTCCTTGCACACACAAAACAGGGTCCCCCGTTCAGTGCTTAATTTCAAAGCAGCCCATTTCAACACATTTGGCTGAAGTCCGGAGGTTACGTTAACGATAGCTTGCTAACATCACCTAACGTTGCGTTTTGTGCTTAGCTTTGCAAGGCTCTGCGATGCCGGTGCACCGGCCGCAATTATTTTCCATTAACGTTAAATTCTCAAAACAACACTGACAACGCAGCATAAAGTATGAACGCCTTCTTCATGGATGGACCTTTGAATGCAACCTTAGCTAGCGCGCAGCTAACAGGCTGCTGGCTTTTATTATTCAAAGCTCTGTTGTACCGTTAAGGCTAGCCATCCTTTGGCCCCGCAACTGAACTGCTAAGCTCCTATTATTAAAGCATTCGTTTTTAAAACCCTGATCAGTTCGCTGTGTTAGCAGCTAAAAAATATAAAATACGTACTTATTGCCAAGAAAACCGAACAGTAGATTCTGGAAACGGGTCAGCGCAGCTCCTACCGCCAGTCGTCTTTAATGCCAAGTAGTCTGCTGTGGGCAATATTTTCCCAGACTAGACTCCTTCGTGGTTGCCAGGTTGGAATCAAAGAACCCCCTTTTAATTTGTATCGCTTTTCAAACATTTTTGAAAAGGTTTCTAGGTGCTTCCAAAAGGCTTCATACCAAGGCACTCGCGCGACATCTCGATATATCAGTCCAAGTTATGTATGTTAAAGTGTGTTAAAAAAGAAAACAAAGAAGAAAAACCACACCTACACCATACAGTAAGTATTGTCATTAATATGATTGTTTATATCATTATTATTGGGTATTTATACCCGCATTATCTTTATAATTAAATATCTTCTCCACACATTTCAAGTCAAGTCAGTTTATTTCACAAATCACAAATTTGCCTCAAGGGGCTCTATGATCATTATAGCATAAGAGACCCTCTATCCTTAGACCCTCAGTCTGGATGAGGAAAAACCCCTCATTAAATGGAAGAAACTTCTGGAGGATCAACAGAGGAGGGATCCCTCTCCCAGGACGGACATACATGCAAAAGATGTTGTGTGTACAGAGTAGACAAGCATACTAGCTTTACAGTGTGGACAACCAGCGCAACAAAATTATGGATATATTTTAAACAGATATCGTCATTGCCCTCATGATCTGTTTTCTTATTTTTATATATTAGCACCATACATTAGTTTTTCACTTAGTGAGAAAAAAGTAAATATTCTTCTTTTCAAACTACTGACACTAGCTGTATTAAACGGTTAAGTTTTAACAGCATTCATTTATGGAAGCAGAACAAGCTGTACAGTAAGCTGGTTTACAACCTGGGAGGATTCATATGCTTGTAGATGATAAGAATGCCCGAGATATGGGTGCATACCATAAATTAAATGCTCTAAACAGGACATATAATCACTAAAGATGCTAAGGTGGAGTTGTGTCATCGAATTTCCTGCTTCCGGTAATGTAATTGTCCCTTTTGACAAACCAATACAAGGCCAGTATAATGATAAAATGTATTTCCACAGAAGGCAGACATGTTTCTTGAATATAACTGACACACTATTTTAGTTATTATTATTTATTAGTGGCCTTGTTTGTCAGATCAACAGCTCCCCAAGGTCTCTGACTTGATAACTGGGACAGAGAATCTAGGTCTAACAGATTTCTACTTCTGTGTCTCAGGCCCCAGGACAATCATCTCAGGCTTATATGTTAGGTTTCATAAAATGATGTGGCATTTACAAGTTTATATCCTCAGTGCAGTAGCCCACATACACATTTAATGGAAGCTCATCTTTAAACAACAGCTTAATATTGCACTTCCTGAAAGTTGGGGGCACTAAGAAAATCTAAATCGATTCAGCAGAGACCAAAATAATCTTACTTTCAGTTTCCAGTATGGGTCATTATACAAAGAAAACATTCTAGCTGCAGATTCCCATGACTGGTACATTTACATAGAAATGTAAATCAGAATAAGAATCAGAATCAGAAAGAGCTTGCCAAGTAGCATTTTACACGTACAAGGAATTTGCTAAGGTAATTAGGGGCTAGACATAGACAAACATACAGTTGAATACGGAAATTAAATACAGATGCAAGTTATAAAAGAACAATTGAACTACATGTAAAAAAACCCAACAATTTGGCCGTTATTTACATGTGCATTACCATGGCCATTTAGGATACATTCTGTAAAATAAGTTTATTATTACTGTTGTTGTCATGATTTCACAGTTGGTCACTTTGATGGCAATGTTGCATTTATATACCAGTTATTTGTGCTTTTATTTATATGCATCTCAAAATGTGTAACCAGAAATTGATTGAAAAGACTACTTACTGAAATGAATGACACCCAAAATTCTGCATAATAATAAAAACAGACAAGGTAAAATGCTATATAATGTCAAAAGACAGGGCGATGCTGTTCACTTCAACAAGCGTTAGAATAAGGGTTGACTGTCCAAACCTGGCAACCCATGATCCACGTCGTCATTTCCGAAGCCGAAGAAAAGGGGTTCGCCCGATTTGCTGCCTTGAGCCGCCCGATTACACACTTACACACTTACACACACACACACACACACAGTTTAGCGATCGGTGTTTAGCATTAGCTGTCCCGCGCGGAGAGTCTCCACTCTAAATAACCGTCTGTAGATGCTGCCATGACAGCTCTCACCTCGAGGGAAGCACAAGTTGAAAAAGTTGTATTTTGCTGCCGTGTGGGATCGAAGTGAGCGAGGGGACGTTTGTGGACACCGACTGAGGGGAGCGGAGCGGAGCAGCACGTTAAGTTTACACCAAAATGGCAACCCCCTATGTTACAGATGAGTCTGGTAAGGCTGATGCATGTGCAAGACCTTTTGTCTAAATGAACACACACACTCCTTTTCATTAAACACAGCAAATGCAGTCAAGTCCAAGTCTTTCCCCCCCAATCTGCAGTATCGATAATCAACAACAGGACATTTAAACGATGATTCAAGTGTTTTGTTCAGCAGCTAGCTAATGCTAAGCGTAGCTGAAATGGCTAACGTTAGCTTGTAGCTATCGCATTTCATTTGTTATCAATGGGAAATAGTGTGTGGTTAACGTTAAATGCACTGCTACCAGAAACACATTTATTTCGTTACCTGTGTAACGTATCACCGTTTTAATTGGCCACTTTACCTTTTTGTATAACCAACTGACAGTTGCCACATTAGCAAGCTAACGTTTCTTAGCTATTTCTGTTTTAATACTAGTCAATGGTCAGTGAGTTAATGTTGTGATGATACAGAGCTGGACGATGCAAGCGATATTCTTTTAACAGCACCAGTTGTTCTTAAGTTATTGTGTGTGAAAAATTGTGTTCCATATAACTTTTCGGGTTATTTGGTCTCTGAGAAAAGAAATTAATCACTAATCTTCACTAGTTAACTAATGCGAGTTATTCTGATGATCAAGCAGGTGTAGAAATGTATTCACAAGCTAGAGTACGATGCACAGTATGATATGTTCAAACAACCCAACTGTGACTTACTGCTGTACGTAAGACCAAGAAAAGGAGTGGGTGAGATTGAAAAGAAGAAAAGAATTGAGAAACAGTTAATGGATATAAAAACCCAACATGAATACCTGTTTTATTGCTAATTACAAATTAAATACCTTTAATTGAGGCAGAAATTATTTAAAAGTGCAATATTGTGCCAAAGCAGTCTAGCTTATTGGTTCTATTGTCTACAATTCATATGGTGCTTCCCAAACTGTTTGCCTTAAAGGTTCTGTGTGTAAGTTATAGTGGCATCTAGTGGTGATGGTTGGGAATTGCAACAGATGGCTCACTGTGCATTCACTTGCTCCTCAGACAAAATAAGCATTTTATAATAAATGTATTAAAGCTAATGGAAATAGTAAATTCAGCAGTAAAAACTAACTTTTTCTCCATGAGGTTGGACATTTTATCGATTTCATTTCTAAATCAAACAACAAAAAGGCAGTAAACTGTCAACATATGGTCTTCTTTTAATATCTTTATATAATATAGACTACTCCTGGCAAAGTTTTAATTATTTGTGTCTTCTTATATATTTGTATACTGTTATGTATACTTCTTTATTTCCCATGTACACTTTATTCCTCTTTTTGCAATAAAGATTTAAGGATTGTTAAGGATCCCATTATTCAAACACATGAATGCACCAATTAGTCACAGCTCACCCCTCCTTTTCCAAAGCTCGGAGGGGAAGCTACGGTGGCCGACACGCTCTGTTGGCTCTTGAATAATATATGTGGGCCTCTATTTGTCCAAATTTCACTTCTCTTCTTACTTCTAATAAACCAGACTACTACTTTTATTATTACATCGGCTTGTTTTTCTTGCGTATTCAACGTAGTGACAGAACACGCTCTATAGAACAGTTTGTGTATTTGGGCTACTGTAGAAATATGGCAGCGCAACATGGCAACTTACATATAAGGGGACCCACGGTGTATGTAGATAAATGGCTCATTCCAACGTAATATAAACATAATGGTTCATTTTGTAAGGTCCCTTATACACCACTGAAAACATAGTTATGTATATTATATTGCATTGCTGTCAATAGATCCTCCTAAATATTACACACTGAACCTTTAAGACCCGTTGTAATGAGGCGGTATTATTTACTTCCTAACCTTTGTCACATACATCAGTGGTGAGCACTTAAGAGGGATTATCTCCCCTCAGTTTGTTTGATTTGGATAGTCTAGAGGATTCAAGAGGTATAACTATCAAGATGTCACAATAAATAAATAAAAAATTTATCTCAGGAAGGCATAGATACCATGGTATGTACAGTATGACGATAGACAATATCCTTATGTTTCCCAGCTCTAATACTGTGTTTATACTAGTGTTTTGTTCCTGTTCCTCAATCTGTTCTAGGGTTTTAGGCTTTGGATCACTGTAATGATTCATAGTGTGAGACTGCATGTGAGTGTTCACAAGGGGATGGAAGTTAACACACACACACACTTGGTGAACAGCTTGTCTAACTAGTGATGGGTGGATGAAACCTTATGAAACTTGAGGCTTTCTCTGTCTTTATGCCCCCCAAAAGATTTTAAGCTTTTAGGGCTTAATAAAATGGCTTTAAATTAAACATCCATAGTGACATCTGGTGGTTGTAAAAACTTATAGCAGCCCTTCAAGACTGAGGCCAAAGCACTACAACTCCTTGCTGATTTTATGGTTTAATACTTAATAAAAGTCCAGGAAGCCAATGTGTTATTTATTAAATCTATTATTGTCTTGTTCACAAGTGCTGCAGTAAATGCACATATATTAAACAAAAAAAGAAATAATGAATGTGTTGTCTAAGGCACCTACTTTTAAAATATTTCTGTTGACGTGATTTATTAATGATTGTTATTGGTGTGGTGTCAGCTCAGTGTCCACTTCGGGCTCATGTGGTATTTTTGTGGTATTTCGTTAAGTTGCAATGTTATGTGACTGGAGTATGATATTACATTTGTACTTTGATTACCTTATTATTTGGTATCAGGTTGAAGTTTTCCCATATACTTATGATTATGTCTATTTGTGTACTCTCAATATCTGATAATTAATCTCCTCTCTTCTTATCCCACAAACATGAGCGTCACTTTAGCATGTAGTTCAGCTGCAAAATGTTCAAAACTGAGTAAAGTGCTCTCTGAAGCACAAGTGACTTTCAAAGCCGTAAAACCAGTGTTATCCACCATAAGTCAAAATTGCAGTGTGTGCTTCAGTTTGACCAGAGTTCCTTGTCTTGCTAACATGACGTTGAAAAATTTTATCTCCCAGGCGGCAATAACATGTTGGCTGTTTAGTGCAGTTTCAGCTAGCAACACAATTTAGTGATCATTTGGAGCTTATTCATATTTCTGCACCCCTATGATGTGAATACACTACGTTATATTAATGTGGCAAACTGCTGGATTGGACCTCGGAGCTGCACAGCTTCCACTTTGAGTCATCCAAAAGATGATTTTTCACCTGTAGTCCTTGGAAAGGCGTTACCCTAAAAAGAATAAAAGATAAAAAAAATAAAAACGTTATTGAAATATTTTATAAGCAGGGCAACAATAAAAAGAGAAGAGAACATGATGTAATTTATTTCTCAGTTTGACAAACCTCCAAAGAGTGAGCACTGAGCTATTTTCTTTGTCATGACAACAGTCAAAGCCCAGGGAACAGGATAAATTAAAGGTCTGCTGGCTTAAAATTGACAGGTCATGCAAATATATTAAATATATATAAACTCGCTACAATGTTTTACCTTTTGCCCTTCAGGGAAATACATTGCTTCCACTCAGCGACCTGATGGAACATGGAGGAAGCCAAGGCGGGTAAAGGAGGGTTATGTCCCCCAGGAAGAAGTACCAGTGTAAGTACAGCTCTTCTTTCCATACAGTTGTACACAGAATCATAATCTTATTTATCCTTATTGATTAGGACAGGCCGATTTTCATCAGAAATTACTGATGTGCGTTGAACAAAATGGAAAGTCTTTTGTTTCTGTTTCAGCTATGAAAACAAGTATGTGAAGTTTTTCAAGAGCAAACCAGACCTGCCACCTGGGATGAATCCGTCCGAGTCAGCTCCGCCAAAGCAGCAGCAAAAGATCCCCGGTTGCGGGGACAGTGAGACAGCCGGCCTCTCAAAGTCTGCCAAACGCAACATGAAACGTAAAGAGAAGCGGAAACAGCAGCAGCACCAGGGCCAGGATGGGGACGAGGATGCGGATGTGGACTTGGTGAGTGACGCTATCGAGAATGTGTCCATTTCAGAGGGCGTTGAGTCTTCAAATAAGATGCCGGCGCCGGTTTCTGTCTCGTCTCCCGATGACTCCTCAGCAGCAGCTGCTGAAAAGGCCAAGAAGATCAAAAACCTGAAGAAGAAGCTGCGACAAGTTGAGGATTTGCAGCAGAAAGTGGACTCAGGGGAAATTAAAGAGCCAACAAAGGATCAGTTGGAAAAGCTGGGCCGGGTACTGGCCTTACGAGATGAGTTACAGCAGCTCGAGCGTGATTCTTGAAGCAATAAAGGAAAGCCGAAGAGTCAGACAGACTAATCACACAAACTACATACTGAAAGACAGGGAAGGGACCTTTGCAGCTTTGTGATCATGGCTTCCATTAAACATATTCTACCTATTTGATATTCATTATGAACTTCGGAAGTGAACACAGTCCCAAGGCCTTTCAAGCCGAGACTGACAGGAAGTCTACGTAGCAGGCACCCGATCTTCAGAACTGACCAGCCTGTTTTCTAGATTCAGATCTCTAGATAGTATTATGACTCCTGCTCATACACGTGTATTGGCCAGTCCACTCATTTATAAATATCTTTTAAAGACATCATTGTAAATTGTTTTGTGCGTGTCTGTCCTCTCCATTTTCTACTATTCATGGCATCAGGTATTACTGACACATAAAATGGAAAAAGTATTTTCTGTTTAAGAAAATATAATTTGTTGACCTGTCTGCTCTTAAGAATTAACACCTTTTTGTCAATGATTGGATGGCTTCTTGTAGCCACACTAATGTTGAGTAACTGTCTCATACAGTCATTGCATTAATTAAAACTACATGCTGTGTAAAATGTTTTATCTCATATTGCTCTTTTTAGTAGTTTCAGATTGAACAAGTATTCTGTGGGTAGTCTGAATAACTTTATTATTTTATTTTAAAAAAGGCGGGGAGGAAATTCTTAGAAAAAGTAAAACTACTGCTTATTTTGATGTCTTGACATTTAAAGGATAAGGGTGGTGATATTGCACTTTATTCTTATCAACAAATCTCATAAAAAGACCCAACCCAACAATGAATTGATCCTACTAAGATACTAAGTATCGTCTGTGGATCCAAAGCCTGAGCCTTTTTAACAAAAATATGCAACTAAACATTTGAGTCTTTAATGATTTTTTTTCAGCAGAAACAAATTGACAATAAGAAGAAAATTAAGCCGGATGTATCATTTAATAACTCAAAAATATTTAATCTTAAAAACATGTATTGTGAGCATTCTGAAATGAAATTAGGTGATTTTTTTCAGGATGTCCCCTGAGATTTATAGCCCTGAGTAGAGCCTGTCAGGCACAACTTAAAGGAGACGAAGGAAGGAAGGAAGGAAGATGGATTAAAAAGAAAATAATGATTCAAATTTGAAGTAGTAGAGCTTTGTGACATCCTGATTTTTAGTCCCTGGTAGAAGTAAAGCCCCCCAAAAACCGAATCCTGTTTGCCTAATGACATCAAGGTCTTTCTTTCAGACTATGGAAAGCTCCTCAGAGAGTTTAAAATAGGACCCTGTGGAGTGCCCCATAAACCCTTAATTTTATGTCCTGATTTCATACTACAAAAATACTTGTACACAGTATGTACAATACTTAGTTATAATATAAAAAATCAACCTACTTTACAGCTTTAGTCTAACAGGAAATGATACAATACAGGCACCGTTGAATGACAATTACACTGCCAATTAAACTTCACAAATAAAAGCAAAAAGGTTTTCCAAGTATTACTTTTGATTAGATTTTTTTCTGGGGGAATTTATGACCACTTCCCTTTACTTTGTGCATTGCATTTACATCAACGGCATATGAAAAAAATCAAGGGTGTCTTAATATACTGAAAGAAAACCTGCTTTTGATTAGTGTAGTCTGGAATTGGGGCACACAGGTTCAAGTTTTGTTCTGCTCTACAAAGTTTCAATAAGTAACAATGAATTAATTGTTCGATTTAAGCTGGCAAAGGAGGGAGGATTTGTGCTATTCCTAAGAGGCACAACCCAGGGCAGAAAAGCCCTGAGTGAGCTCAGACAAAAGATGCCCTCTACTGATGAGAAATCAGGGACGACCAGTGTTTTAGCATTAAAATTGAACCCGTGGTTAAATTTAGTAACCTTAATTGTTTTAAGCGTGCGTGAGCTGAATCTCTTTCCCATCTGTCTGCTCACTTTTTATAAGCTTTATTCCACCATGTTGCAGCCGAAAAGGAGGCGTTCTCGGTCTCCATTCAGAAGACGATTTGTAGCAATGGTTATGTGGGGGCGTCATGGTTTTTCCTTGAATGGGTTCCTACATAGGGAACAATATAATTAGCTGTTGTCTCATGGAGGGATTGCGGTTAGTTGTTTTCTTCATAGAGCTGTAACCATGAAGTAAAAGAATGTTAAGATTTATGAGGAATATTGTTTCACAAGTATAAATCATTAATGAGCAACACCAGCAGTATTTCTGGTACATCTGTCACACCTTAATTAATGTCGTCTGGAAAATAATTTACCTACAAAGTATTGCAGCTTAATTAAATATCAAGAAAGAGGGTTTTTTATTCACCACAATGACATAACTGGTTATAAGACATCAAATTTAACAGATGGTGGGCAGATAATCTCCTTTTTTAACAGTTAATACTGACTTTATTTGCTTCCTTTGACGTAAACAAAACTACTCGGAAGTTATTCTTAAACACTTCAAGACAAATGGCTCTAAATGATGGTGGAAGAAGGCGTGATCATGCTGTTAGTGTCTGAAATAGTTTTTTGTCGTCCACACATCACATTCCTTGTAAAGGTTTATTATGTGGCCTTAAGGCAGGTCCTGAACAGACACTTGATGGTATAAAAACAAGGATCCCTAAACCAAGTCACCAGCTTCAGCTCTGACATGGTGAACACAGGGAATGCACAGAGGATGGACGTAGATGGAACAGCTGCAGATTTTAGCGATGCTTAGAAAGATCCAGAACTTGTTTATAATTTGAAACTTGCTGTGTTGGGAATGTTTTGATTTCCCTAGTAATGGAAAAAGACCCAAACCAGAAAATGGAATTTAGACTGGAGATAATGGGACTTCTTGTTTTGCTGACAGCTGCTTCATCCGTCGCCCTGAGCAGAGAAGAATTTACAGAAGCGGTGGTAAGAAAAGCAGAGATGCTGAAATTTTTGCTAGAATTACTTATCAGAGTTGTTGGGGAAAGAGTTGTTGTAGATGAGTTAAGATGTGGTGCAGCTTATAACACCAACCAACCATTTACTCGGATTATATCAATGCTGTCCTGGAAGTAAGCATTTCATTTAGGGCCCCAATACAAGCCCTGTGATAGAAATTGTTCAAAAAGATTAGCAGAAAACAAACTCAAGGACGTTGCTGAGGCGAAGATATCAATAAAATGTTTTTTTATATTCCTCAATGCATACTTTCCATGACTATTAGTTGTTTACAGATTTAGACTGAGAACAACATTTATTTACATTATACATAAAGTAGTTACAATAAGCACCAACTCAACTAATTACAACAAGTGCTGCTTTAATGTAGTTGCCTGTAAAGGAGCCATTCTGTATAATGACTCATTTTGCTTTTATTCTTTAAGTACATTTTGTTGCTAATATTTAGAACTACTTTTACTTATTAGTAACAATTTAAATGCAGGACGTATGCAGGAGTATTTTTAAAGTGTGGTATTGGTTTGCTTTTACTTAAGTAAATGATCTAAATACTTATTTCACCAATATTAACACTACTATTTCCTAAAGTGCCTGCCTATCTATCTATCTATCTATCTTTCTATCTATCTATCTATCTATTGATTACAATTAGTACTCTTTCTTTAGGTGTATTTAAAAACATATGGCTATCTGCACATCCCACTGGACGGTAAAGGCCATAACCATCCACCCGAGGAGATAGTGGAAGCCCTAAGGTGACCATATTTCATCTCTTTTAACTATTTGTAAAGGTAGCTTAACATGTCTGTTTTTTTTACCTTCACCCCAGGCTTGTTTGTTTAAGTGAATCAATACAAATATTGGGACGTCTTGTCTTTTCTTTGTGTGTCAGAATTTTTCAGAAAGTGACAAACCTGCAAATATCAGGAAAACTAGATTCAGCCACATTGGCGATGATGAACAAACCTCGATGTGGTGTGGAGGACGCCTTTATTAACAAATCTCTCAAATATCGAGTCCTGGGTGGGTAATTCATTTTACATATTCAGATTGTTACTACAGTATTGCAGTATAAATGTAAAAATATCAATTATATAGTCACTTAAATGTTTCCTAATTGAACAGGTTACTGGCGCAAGAAGATGTTGACCTACCGCATTTATAATTACACCCCTGACTTGGGTCAGGGAAAGACCCGTTTGGCCATCCAGAATGCATTTAAGTACTGGAGTGACGTGTCACCTTTAAGGTTCAAGGAGTTGCAGCAAGGCAGAGCAGACATCAAAATCTCCTTTCACAGAAAAGACAAGACGTGTCCAGTGCCTTTTGATGGGAGAGGTAGGTCGTGCTTCCATAAATGTGACAGCTCAAACAACGGCAGGTGTAAATGAGGTGTTTGGTAAGGATTCTTGCTCCATCTTTAGGTCATGTTTTAGCCCACGCTGATGCCCCTGAGTCAGGCATAGTGCATTTTGACAACGATGAAGTGTGGACAGAAGGAAAGACCTACGGCTCCAACCTGAGGATTGTTGCAGCCCATGAGATTGGCCATGCTCTTGGCCTGGGACACTCTCAGTACCACAGTGCTCTGATGGGACCTGTGTACAACGGATACCGCTCCGACTTTAAGCTACATCCAGATGACATACAAGGGATCCAGGCTTTATACGGTAATGTCACACTAGTATCCCAGTGTCAGGGCGTGCAGCATCTTTTAAGTAGAATTTATGCAATGTGCAGTGTTGTCCCTTGTCAGGAAAGCCAGAGAAGACTCCTCCGTCCAGGAATCCAAGCCAGTTTGTGCCAGAAGGAGTTGTTCCAGATCCCTGCAAGGCCACTCTAAATGCAGTGATGTTGGGTAAAAAGACCCTGATGCTGTCTGACTGCATTCAATATAGGAAAAACATAAACCATACCTTTGTAATTTGTTTAAGAAAAGTTATTTGTTCATTAATTTACCCCAACCAGGAGATGTATCTAAGTACAGGTATGCTTTCTCCTGCATTGTGCCCCTGCAGGTCCTTTGCGTAAGACTTATGCTTTCAGTGGTCAGTACGTGTGGACGGTGTCCAGCTCTGGCTACAACAATCCCATCCTGATCTCTGCACTGTGGAAGGAGCTGCCAGGGAGCCTGAATGCAGCTGTTCACTCTCAGCGCACTGGCAAGTCATATTTTCTGAAAGGTGAATTAGGATTGTAACATTTTTAAAATGTTCTAAAAATGATCGTCCATCATCGCAGTGTTTAATGCCTTTCTCACTCTCCACTTGTTCTTTTACAGAAGACAAAGTATGGAGGTACACTGGCTTCAAACTTGACCATGGCTTTCCCAAACGCTTGGCCAATATTCCTGCTAATATTGACTCAGCCTTGTATTTCAACAAGAACAAAAAACTCATCTTCTTCAAAGTAAGTGCAAAATAAAGATATTTGCTTGTATTTATTTTGAGACACATGTTTTTTGCTTGAATACCTCTTTCATTTTCCATTAAATTATTTACTCGTTATTTTAGGGCTCTGGATACTGGCAGTGGGATGAAATTGGCCCGACAGATTTCAGTTCATATCCCAAACCTATTGGACAACTCTTCCACGGGTTACCCAGCAATACTGATGCTGCATTAACATGGACAAACGGTCACATATATGTGTTTAAAGGCTCACAGTACTGGCGTGTAAACCAGAACCACCAAGCAGTGGAGAAGGCCTATCCTCTGAGCACTGCTGCACACTGGATGCAGTGTGACGACTGATCCACCAGGGGCCACCAGGGATTCAACATAAACCAAATCCTGCACAATAATTCAGTATAGCAACAGTGAGGGATGCTTATTCATGAAATCAACAACAGAATAAATATTTGCATGATGTGATGTTTCTTTTTGTGGCAATACAATATTATTATTTAAAAAGCTATTATCATACAACATGCAATGGAATACTTGTGATTCAGTAAGACTGGATGTTTTTACCCGCTGATAGTGTAATATTCCTGAAACTGCATAGACAGTATTCTATCAACCAGCCCTTGTTCTCAGCAGACATCAGACATTTTGACTTTGTAGGTCATAGTAGGAAAAGCACAGGTGTTACTAACAACATTAACGATGACTCTGTGTGTCCCAGTAAGACGGCACGCACAATACCAGGACTCTTAAACTGAAGCAGCTAAATGGAATTCAGCCATCATTAACTGTATTATTTACACCTGTTCATTTCCTGCTGCGATGTGTCAAAAGATCTTCAGTGAAAAAGGCCTATTGCAATGTGTGTGTTTTCACTTATTTGTGGAAATTAGACCTTCTCTTCTATACATTCTATTTGATTTCTATTCCTGTTAAATCAGGGGTTTATTAGCTTGTTGTCCAACATTTCTCATTTTTCTGATGTATATCTTTAGTTTGCATGGGATATTATGAATGTGTTATTAATAACGGTAATACTTTATATTGAAATCTATAAATATGGTACATTGTATTTAGACAATAAAATATTGTGATTGTGTGAAGCAAAAGGTGAAGTGATAAACTTTTCAAAGGATGTGTTGATCATGAGTCTGATCAGTGTGTATGTTGTGTTGTTTTGTTGTTGTCATCATTAATGGGACGTTCTCCAAGCATGTCAAATCACACTGTGTGCATGTTGATGATTATCTGACAAAGCTGGTTGCAGTAGATTCACAGCGGCAGTCGAAATGGTTGAAGTGGTTCCGTGGAAGTGAACATTTCTAAGGAATGTTTAATTATCAGTATAACAGATATTTGATGCTGTGTGTTCTTTCAGACTGTAAAGACGGGGGAGGCAGCAGTCAGAGGCACCATGGAACCCGTCTCATAGTCAAAGTCAATTAGAGTATGTGTGATGGTGCTGACGGTGCTGGTGGAGGAGCCTGTTCCCATCTGGCGCTCCTGAAGGCTCTGGAGATAACTCTGAAAGCATACAGGAGAACAAAACATTATTGCACTGACCATTTACTACATATTTCCATAGTAAAAAAAATCAAACGTGATGAAGCTATTTCTCATGCAGTCAGGAGAAAACTGACAGTGGCGGAATTTAACTAAGTACATTTACTCAGTGCTGTACTTCAGTACAAACATAACTTTACAGATGTACTCCATGCCATCTCTGAGGCAACATTGTGCTTTTTACTGCACTACATTTGACTGATAGCTTTAATTACTAGTTACTTTTCAGATTAAAATTTTTCATACCCTTCCCATCCAGTGAAAACTTCTATTTTGAATTATAATTTTTCTGGTAATCTGAAAAAAAATGTGGAAAATGCCACATAGCTGAAAACAGGGCTGTTTTCCTGAGCTCATGAAAAGTTGGCTTTTTAGAGATGCTTTTCACAGGACAGACACGCTACAAAGATGTGATGGTCTTATAGAATATGATGCATTGCTATAGATTAAACTACCCAACAGTATATAAAGTAGTTAAAATGAGCTCAATCTTAAACATCTACTGCAGTAAAAAGGAGACTTTGCCTCTAAAGAAATGAAAGCTGAATGAAAGGCTCTTTAATTAATTAATTAATCACTTAAATGATTAATCTCAGCCACTGACCGGTGCAAGGACGTCCCCAGCATAGCGTTTCAGCAATGGAGGCCTGCGCCTACGGTGTGGTGGAGTTCGTCTCCTGGATTCTCTATATTTGTGCTTCTTGGCATGTTTCTTCTGTTTTTGGTGTGCAGCTGGGAAGCATCCCAAAGGGAGGAAAATGTATTTAACATGAAAATAAACTGAGTTTGAGTGCATAATTAAGTGCAGGTTGAGTTAAACTCACCTTCTGTGTGTGATACTCCTTTGGCAGTAAACCTCCATTGTACCAACACAGCTATCAGACTCAAAACAGGCCATATCCCAGTGATCGCCCAGTTAAACCAGCAGAGTGGACGTGGGGCAACTTGACAAAGCATATCATACACCTGATCTGGCAGCATAAATGTCCCCACCAGGTAATCCACACACAGCATCACAGTGGCTGCTCCAAACACAGATGTGTAGATTATGGTGAACTGTTTCTGCCACTGGAGTGTGAAAACAACAGTGACAATGCTGGCAGCAAGTGCGGCACTGAGCGGCACCCACACTGGAGTAAGGCTGTGAAACTGTCCGACAACCACTAGGATGGCGAGGGATAGCAGGCTCCCCAGCTGCAGGCCACTGAGGAGGAGCCCCATGGTTGACACTAGCATGGTCATCAGCCCACAGAGCACACCCACACCCAGGCCGATCCCTGCCTTTGTCTCTGTTCCCAGTTGGGCCTCGAAAACAGGCTCCTTATGGTACAAGAGAAGTACAGCTGCAGAGCTAAACATGAAGCCAGAGAAGAACATGACCATCTTGAAGCAGCGGTATCCTGAAAAGTAAAATAAAAACAAGTTATTAAAAGAAAAGACTGTACCATCACTTCATCCATGTGTGCAAATCCAAAATGAATCACAATGTTTTACAATTGCTTTGACTGACAGCTTAAAGCTAAGAGCCAAACTGACTTGCTAATTCTTGCTTTTAAACACAAAATACTGTCCTCACATACACAGATCATCACATACTCAGGCCACTGCCACTTCATGTTAGCACAAGTTGCGTGGCTTATTACAATTACAAACAGTGCAACAGTTTGTTTCTCCTTATTTTATCTACTTTAAATTTGTGTAATAATAAATTTTAATCAGGAAATCAGGCTTTGCTTTTGTTCCAGTTTCCATTGTGTGTTACAATGATGCCAATCATTTATTATTAAACCTATAAGTGATGGAAATATCTAAGGTATGTCCTGAATTAAAATTTATATCATCACTTTGTCTGTGAGACTCTAGACTGCATCAGTTACATTTTTTACAGTAAGGTATTCTTACTGTAGGTTATTTAAAATACTGATGTCTGCATAAATTGAACATTTTCTTTCATTGCTATTCCTATACATTTGAGGAAATTAGTGTGCAGATCCTCATTTTATGAGAAGCAGTTACCGTTTTACAGTAACACATGACAGTGTTGTGATGTTGAGGTGAGATTTTGAGGCCAACATTTGGAATATAGCATTTTGAGTTTTGAGCAATTGTAAACCTTTTGTAAAAAGTGATTTTGAATCACTGTAAACTTGTTCTGATCAGAAGCACAAGGGGGAAAAAAGTACCGCCAGCTCAAACCCTGAGGAACAGATGCACACTACCACTCCAGTATTTTTGATGATTTCTTGGCTTGACCCTTTAACTGAAATCTCACTGAGCTGCATGGCTGACCTGCAGATGTTGATAGGTCACACATTGCTGAAATATATGTTATAAGTGAATTTGTTCCAGAATTCATGTCCAGCTCCAACATCTGTCATTCGCATTTTTTTATGTGAATAACTTCAGTACTCACAACTCACTCTCCTTTTATATTTTTGGTCACAATAGCGAACTACATAAGAAAACACAATTGGAAACTGTCTCCACCTGCACCACTGAAGCTGCTGTTTTTCTTCAAATGTTTAATTATTCACCCTCATAATAGTGTCTACATGCAACACTAACACTGAGAGTTACTGGGAACACAGACTTTGGCAGCATGTGTGTTTGCATAAGGTCACATGTTTTAGGGAACAGGTCAATAGGACACAGTGCTCCTAATCACACACACATTTTGTGTTTATTGGATTTGTGTCAATTCTCAGTGAAGAGACAGAAATTAGCCAATGTTTTGAACTTTTTTACCATATATTGATGGATTTTTGGGGAAATTTCCCTCACAGTATTTTATTCAACTTACCGCTCTACAAACTGCTGCTGACTGGAAAGTACAAGCTGTTTGTAAAAATACAGCATCACTGTCAGAACTCATATGAGCCTTTGTCAGGTTTAAGACCGTGAAACCAGTGAGACATCAGACACACAAATTCAGACACAGGCCTACCCATCTGCCTCCTCCAGCTTTGTGCTCATCCACCCTAAACCCCCTGGCAGCTTCCAGACACCTGCCACTGTGGGTTTGAGCCATAAGGTGAGCTAATAAAACATTTAGAACACTGACAGCAGGGAGGTGTTAAAATAGTCGCTCTAAGTAGCCTGTCCTTACCTCTGTAATTTGTGTACATTCACATTTATTATTAGTTCTGGTATCAAGAATACATACCGAAAAAGCAGTAGATGAGGCCAAATGAAAGGCAAACACAGCAGACAATAGATGGGATGACTTCATACTTGATATTAATCTCAAGCATACATATGTCCACCTCAGCTAAGCCAGCTTCTGGCTCTTCTATACCATAGATTGAAGTGACTGCCATCTTGGAGGATTATTACTTCTATTGCTGGGCAGTTGGTATGGATGCAAATCCACTTTGTTCAATGAAGGGGCAAAACCACAACGTCCTGTATGTGGCGTCCAGGGAAAGAGGAAGCTCCTGAACGAAGAACTTGTACAAAACTATTTCCTGTTGTGCACCTGCAAGAAGAGGAGAGCGTTTTCAGCATAAAGTCAGCTCTAGTTTTTTCCCAAGCTGCTAACTTTGAGAGTTATTCATCATCAGGTCTTCAGGTCTTGTATAACCATTGTGGGAAGTAGTCCTTCAAAATATTACTTTTATTAAATTTGAAACATCTTACACTTTTAGATGTTGTTATTGAAGTGTGTATATGAGAGGATATGACTCTTTCCCATGTGCAAATTCCGATTCAGGAACCAGAGAAGGAAACTGGGGATCCCCTCTGAGTTTAACGTGTCTCTTTCCTGGTTCTTTTGTTCAAGAACAGGATACAGATGAGGAAATGACCTGGTGGCTGGGTGCCTTCATTATACAGGCCTATTGTTCTGAGCATGTGGTTAGGTACTCTGTTTACTGAACATTAAAACAAAAACAATCAGCCAATAAAGGAAGTAAATGGTGAAAGAAGTACTCAGATATTTTACTTAAGTAGCAATACCACAGTGTAGTAATAAAGTTTAAAGTAAAAGTTAAGCATTAAAGATTTTAGTAATTTTAAGTAAAAGCACAAAAGAATTTGCAATAATCAATAAAGTTGTTTTAATCTATAACCTACACATTCTCATTTATTTGTTGATTATATTTTGTATGATAAATCTGAATCTGCAAAGTAGCCAAAGCTATTAAACAAATGTAGTGGAGTAAAAAAGACAACATTTCCTTCTGAATTGTAGTGGAATTGACATATAAAGTAGCAGAAGAAGGAATTACTTAAAGTACAAGCACCTTAAAATTGTACTAATAGTAAATGTTGTAACTTTCCACCACTGGTAACAGCCTTGCAAAACAGAAATAAATCAATATAAATAATGTCTTTTGTAAATCAAGGAGACTAAAAACATAACTGTGTAGAGGCATGTTTACACATAGTATGGCTGTCTAACTAACGTGTGTATTACTGAGAGGACCTGATAAGCAGTTCATGCAGATCCCACGCTCAGCAAATGGAATTAGAAGAGCTCTAGCAGGTGAGTGATCCTCCTGTATGTTCATGTCCTCTTGTAACGGTGAGTGTAAAACCCAAAAAACACTTACACTTTCTAACAGGCCTCTGGTAAAATTTAAATTAAAGCTCTGTGGAGGACAAAAACTATCTGAAATAATTCCTTTTTTATTATTTTGATATCTTTTTGTGAAATTCCACTTCATGGAAAAAGATGTTTTTTCTGTACTGTCATTCCACAATAAGAGACAGTGTCATCATCTACAAGATCAAAGAACTTCCTAACAAAAGATCAGCGATAAATATCTGATAAATCTCTGACAAATAAAAGCTTGAAATAAAGAAATAATAGTTCTGTGGCCTACCTGGAACGAGACATATCTTCACAGAGGAAATGTGAGCTTTAACAGAGAAACAAAAGTATCTTCAGTAGTAAACCAGGGAGCGAGCATTTAGGAGTTTGTCAGGAGTCTGTGTGGCTGTGTGGGTGAGACTCAGCGTCCGACCTGTGCTCATGTGAACAGCTGACGCCTGACTCTGAGAGGGAGACCATCTGCTGCCAAGTCCAAGGCCAGCTGAGAGCTCTCAGCTGGCTGCCAATGATCCTACTGGAGCCTCGACTCTGTTTCTGCATTATCACTTCAGAGCTCAGTTTCACTCAATGTGGCACTTTTTCATCAAGGTTAAAGTTGGCTCAAGTTAAAGGGAAGCTATTTCTTAAGAGACTTTCCTGAACAATCTAATTTAATCCCTTCATTATTGCATGCACTTCACTAAATATTATGTACACGGTCTATGAAGAACAACTCAAAATCATTCTTTTTTCTGTCACATCACACCCCACCTCTTTATTGTGAGCAGCACGATCTTTCCAGATGGTTTCCCATCATAGTTTGTATGTGATGTCTTGTCTGCAAAATATATTTCAAATGCAACTTTCAACCAACATCAGCACTTAAAGAAATGTGGTTTTGTCAGTGTAGTTATACCGATGACTAAAGTAGCATACATTTCTTAAGTATATGCTGTCACATTGTTTCAGTGACCAAACGTCATTTGGTGCTGTCAAGGCGTGATTTACATTGTGGCAAGGCCATTATGAAAATCTTTTGCACAAAAGTGTAATTAACTCTAACTGTAATGCTGTGGTTTTCCTGGCAAAATAACAAATACACTGCATGCATACATAAGAAAATCTCATCACATCAAAAGAATATTCTATTATTATATTCATTATATTCTAATATTTTGCATTGGGATCATTATTCAGCAGTCTATCTAAAAATTAAATTAACTTTATCGATTCTCTACAACTATATGCTGTATATACAATGAAATATATGAAAGTACTTCATTTTTTCCACTACCAGGCTACTAAATGCTGACAGTAGTCACACTGTTACAGTCTTTTAAACTTGGTCATTTATATTAACTATAGCAATCATTTATTTTGTTTAATTTTACATACAGATGCTCATAGTCTCCTTGACATACTGCAGGCACATTGCTCTGTTGCCTGTGTGTTTTTGAGTCGTGTGGATGAACCTGGGATTAATAAAGTTGTCTGAATCTGAATCTGAAAGTTCTTTTTTGACATTATTTCCCATTGTTCTTTTATGATTAATGAACACTTAAAAAAAAGTTTCCTCTGGCTGCATCACTGGAACAACTCGAGCTATTCTTCTCTGTCTCATGGTTCTAGCCACCCTAATGACATAGCTCTAGGGTTAGCAAGGGTAGTCTACTCGATGGATTGTAATGAAGTTTTTCCTTGCTTTGCCTTTTCATCACTTTGCGGCCAAATACAAACAAAACTAAAGACATTTTCATCAGCCTCCGCTGCACTTTGTGTTTAATTGTATTTATGAAATGTTAGCATGTTAACACACAAAACAGTGACAACAAACATTAACATACACCTTCTAAACATCAGCACGTTAGCATTGTCATTGCGAGCATGTTGGCATACAGAAGTTAGCATTTAGCTCAAAGCATTGTGTTGCCATGGACGTTTTAGAGCCAAGCAGAGCAGCTAGCACGCCTGCTGTTGTAATGGCTTTATAATGTATGGAGTGGGTCACCATGGGAATTTCTTTATAAACTAGTTTTGCATTCCCTCGCAGTTAATTTAGCATTCTCTTGCAATACTTTTGTGTTTAATTACAGAAATAATGTCCTGTGGGAGAAGTGTAATACCAAATTAATTCAGGCAAACACTGTGCCACACTTGTTAAGTCTGATGATTTTCCCCTGTCAGTGTTGCCTAGTGTAGCTTTTAGCTGTTAACTTACAGTAAGAAGAAGTTGGCAATAACAATCAAGTGGGAGATGCTCTGGGAAGTCCACAGTATATTAATTTTCTAAGCAAAACTCTTATTTAAAGGCACCAAACTAATATAAGTATTCTGTCGTCGTCTGGAGTGCAACAGTTTATGAGCAGAGTCACACAGTGCGTGTGTTTTCAGCAGAGCATGAAAGAACACACATGCAGTCAATGGCTGAATTATGGCACAAACACTGCAGCAAATGCCAGGGGCGAAGGAGCAGATTAATAATGACAGCATAACTTGAGGAATATTGAGCCGCAACACCGCTGACATAGCTGGTGAAGTGGAGCTGTCTGGCTGAATTACACTCTTCTTGTGAGAAGCGTAATAAAGACAGTAGCATTCAAGTCCAAGCAGCCTTTCATCAGTCAAATATTTCTGTTGTCAGTAGATCAAAGATGCTTTTAAAAAGTTGAGAGATCAGGTAAAATCAGACAAAAGTACTTTGTGAGGAAAAGTTGGAGGACTTATATAATTTATTTTTAGCCACGCTAACGGCTCCACGGATGGCAATGTTGGTCTGTCGGTCGGGCGGTCCACTACTTTGGTCCAGACTGTAATATTTTACCAGCTATTGCATTGATTGATTGCCATGAAATTGATTCTTATTTTCTTGTGGTTTTTCTCTCTTGAATTAAAATCAGTTTTAAAGGGGCATTATGTAGTTTTCAGCGACCACTAGCGGTTTTAAGATTGCAACCAGGCGTGGGCTCGTACACGTGCTCGCTTGAACTGATGAGCAAGCATAATCCGAAACACAACCACTTTCATACAGAAATCCCGCAATAAATGCAGATACACCAGCATGCAGGCTGTGGTTTTTCTCCAGACATGTTCTGTTGGCTCTGTTACTTCAACGGTCCTGGCTCAGAGGCAGATCAACACGGACTCTGTACCTTTCACACAGCGCAACGAAACACCGGCATATTGGCACAATACTCCCGGAAAAAAGGGCAGTGTGACAGCGGCTATAGACAGACAGGGAGATAGCTTCACACAACATGCTGGCAACTTCCACTGCAACATTACAGTAACATTTTTATCAGCTGCTTGAGGTTGAACTAATCCATGCTCGTTACATGATACAGTGACTGCATTTAGCTGATGTGATACTTCTGTGTTAGCTCGCCTGCTGCTTTCACTAACATTACTATTTGTGTATCTTTCACCCGGAGGCTCAGCAATGTGAGCACAGCTAAATGTATTGGATGATAACAAAACGGTTAGTGAGCTGGACTGAAAATTATAAATGTCACACTTTTTGTCACATTTTATAATAGTTATACAGTAAGTGGGTGGATCTTCCTCTGTGTTGTTGTTGCTGTTTTGTTGCATTATTCTATATTATGTGGGTCATGTTAGTTACAGCGTCATCACCTGAATCTCGTTTGGTCTGATGGGCTTCACCACATAAACCTTTATTATAGTTTTGTATCCTTATGTGGAGTTTATGTTGTGCTGGGAGCCAGTTGTTTTGTGGTATTAGTGGATTGCATGTCGTTAGCTGTGGTGTTGTTGCTGTAGTCTGAGAGAGGCTCGGAGCGCACAGGGCTACATCCCGACCTGGTGTCCTCACATAAGAAGAAGAATAGTGGCTGTTCCAAGCAACAGAGAAAACAGGGCGTGTGTTTCATTTCTAAGTGACATTTGAACCCATCGACATCTATTAAGTGATTTCATTGAAAAACTACAAATAGCCCCTTTAAAGGTATCATTGTGACACTTTCCTAATTATTGACACAGTGGAGCTCAATCAAAATGTCTTCTCTTGTTGCAATTTTGGCTACTTCTCTGTATATCATCCAGATTTCTCTATTTATCAGAAATGAAACATTTGGGGGTGAGGGTATAGAAGAGGAAAAACCTCCCCTCCAGGGACATATAAATTTATAACACTAGTGAGGCCTTTAAAATATCTAACATACAGCTAACTGATTCATGAGACCTCCCTGTGTGCAATTCTTTTTTGATTGCAGTGCAGAGAGTATTGACCATCGCAACTGACCATCTCAGCCCCTGTAAATGAAATGTAATTTTTATCTGAATGACTTAAAGAGCCATTAAAGGGAGGTTTTATCGACTTAATGAATTAAATGAAAAAATTGCACTGGAGAAGAAATTAAGTTGGATGATTTAGAAGTTTCACCCACAACAGGGAAATATACTTTTTTACTTTACTACATTTATCTGACAGCTGGAGTTACTTTACAGATTAAGATTTTACAAACAACTTAAATTTTTAAAATATAGCCTAATATGTGCTATTGATTGAATGATCAAACAGTATATGAAGTAGTTAAAATGTGTTCCACTACCAACGGCTGTAATAATAATATTCTGCTTACATGTTAAAAAGAAATAATATTCCAATTATATGATACAAATATACCTTTCAGAAAGGGAAAATACTTTTACTTAAATACTTTAAGTACGTTTTGCTTTAAATTAATCCCTTTCTACTTTTAGTCTTTTAACAGAAATGAGTAATTCTTCCACCACTGTAACATTTCCTGTTGCCATTTGCATGAAATAAGTCAATTATGTAATGAAGTGTGGTTGTTGCTGAGTCCCTCAGACCTGATTATGTCCAGAAAAAAGGGAAGGAATTCTAATGTTATGTAAAATTTTAATCCAGTACTCTAAATGTTCCTTATTTCTCATCTCAAGTTTGCGTATAGAATCCATTCATATTTAAACATTTTCAAATCTGAGCAATTATTAATGTTCATACTTTTAATAGAAAATACAACACAGATGTTAAGATTAATTATATTTGCAAGAATTACAACGTGTGACTCATTTGACATTTAAAAGATGACACACTGCATAAATAAATAAATAAATACGTACTTTTTTCTCACTGTGTTGACATATTATCAGTGAGAGATATGGATAGTCAGGCTTCTCCTTAACACAGAGGAAGTGAGCATGACAAGATTATCAGCGTCACATTATGCAGTTGTACGATAAAGGACACTCTTACATACATACATACAATTAGAGTTGCAGAAACATATGCAGAACATACAGCTCATTTTTCAGATCAGCATGTTTTAATCTATCAACACAGTTCTTATACAGGCTTATTTATATTTATATATTTATTTATACCTTTTGCATCAAGGTATTTATAATGACTAAACAATTAAAATCTCGGACAATAAGACTGACTGATAACCAAACATGCAGAGGCCTCACAAAAGTTCAAAGTACACTGATAACCACTAATCAATA